AGTATATAGTTATCTGTTGATTTTGCCTGCCTAGCATGCAGCCCTCTTCTGGTAACAGCATTCTGATTTTCCTTTAGGGAATCAGCATACCACACACACACACACACACACACACACACACACACACTCACATACCCACTGTATTTGGTTCAGTAAGATTGACTGCAAACTCCGGCTCTTGGGGTGAGCATTTGACCAGGTCTGGCCAATTAGAGCAGTACACCCACCTGGCTACAATGAGTAGGCTGAGATTTACTTCTGGGTCCGTTGGCAGAACTGTTGGGAAAGAGAGGCTCTCTGTTCATTGCCATGGCTGCTTAAGAGTGAGACCAACATAGAGAAAAGCAGAGTTGAGAAATGAAAAGACTAATTTCTGATGACATCATTGAGGCTTTGGGTCTCTCACTTGCCTGGTCTACCTTTGGACTTTTCTTTCAGTTATATGAACCAATAAATTCCTGTTCTTTCATAAGCTGGTTAACAACTGAAAGAATCCTGACTGATACAGACCCAAGTCCTAGTTTCCAGATGGGGCCAAGGGGCCTCAGCTGAAGTAAAGCAGGGTTGGGGGTGGAGTGGGGGTGGTGAGGTAGGGGAAGGACAAGATACAACAACTCTAGAATGTAACTGCTGTGATCTGTCTCTTTCACAGATAATAGAAGCTGAGGCATTGGAGAGTAAAGTTACCTACCAAAGGCTGTACACTGAGTAATTAAAAGGGTCCAGATTCAATCTCAGGCCTAATAGAACTCCAAAGTTATTATTTTTTTTTTTTTACTGAATCACACTGATTCTCAGGGTAGGTCTATACCTGGAATCAAGCCTGTATATTGCCTCTTAAACATCGAGAGAGTTTTATTGGTGTTGGCTGGGTGGGGCTGAGGACAACAATACAGAGTTTCCTTCTATTTGAGATTCAAGTTCAGAATTCTTAACTGTTTTCCTGATCACTTAGGAAGAGGCAATGGTAGCCATAATTAGGTTTACACAACGTCACTACTTAGGTCCTTCTACTCGCTTCTCTTCCCAGGGCTCCCTATACACACTATTTCAGGTCCAGTCACCTTGGCAAAGAAAGGGCCTTCCTCTGGAATTCTCATCTTCTCTTCAGTATATGTAGATGGGTTCTTCCAGAAAATTTCAGGTCAGCTGAAGCCCTTCCCAGCAGCCCCAGTGGAACAAGCGGGGACAGCCCCAGGGCCAGTTCCACACCTCTCTGGGAAGCCCCTCTCCTGTGAGGATCCCAAGCACCGGGCCTACAGCTGCCTCTGGCCCCTCCCTGGAGGACTCCGCCCTCTTAGCCCAGCAGGTGGGCAAGGCTCCGAGCTCACAAGTCCTACTGGGTCTGGAGATAAACGTCAGCAGAGGGCTGTTGCTTTTAACATTCCCAGCTCTATAATAAAGCATCTGTCATATCACCCTGTTTCTTGTCCCTGGACCTGCTCCGA